TTGGAAGAAAATTTGGACTGGCTAAAAGATTTACATGTGGGGCCAGATAAGTTTATATCGTTTTGGTTATGTTTATTTCTGATATGATACCCGGGCACGCTGTTAAACCTGGCAAAGCATGTTTTGGGCTCTGAAAGGCAGTGATTTCATTGTTAGTATGACTGCAGCCAATGAAAACCAGACTATTTAGCATGCTTCTTTCTTCCCAAAGTCTTTCTGTTTCAAAAATAAGCAGGCTTAAAATTTCTATTGAAAACAGGACAGATTAGTTATCACTGCTGAGATGTGAAATAACAGAGGGCTTTGTGCTCACATCCAGACAAGCAAAAGTCATTTTAATCTTGGAGCTTGGCAAAACTAGGCCTGATCTACACCACTACTGTAGCTGCCCACTTTGAAGAGCTGATGAAATATTTTTAATTTCACTTGATGGAATTTGTAGTTTGTTAAATCCTGTATAATATTTATTTAGCCGTAGTCTATAATGTTTACACAGAAAGCTATTCTGGGAAATGCTGATTTTTATGTTTTTTTTCTGACTGGATGAAATGAATTATATTTATCAGGAATTCAGAGAAGGAGGAATGTTTGGCAGAATGTTTTCTCGGATATAAATAAAGCGTTAACCAAGACAACATGCCTAAATTAGGGTCTGTTTTGAAAGAAGTAAGAAGGAAAGAAGAGCTTTTTATTTAACACCACACAGATCCTTCTATGTGAAAAGGATCATGGAATCATGGAATGCTTTGGCTAAAAAGGGATCTTAAAGCTCATCTTGTTTCATCCTTTGCCAGGGCAGGGACACCTTCCACTACCCCAGGTTGCTCCAAGCCCCATCCAGGCTGGCCTTGGATATGGAGGAAGGAAGGATATTGGAAATACCATGTAAGAAAATCATGGAACAGCAGGTATTGCACCACTAACTCTTTGGGAAGGGCTGGAATTTCAGGATAGAGTTGTGTAAGTGTACACTGACAGCTGTGAGACCCTAAACTGGGGTTTGGCTTGCCCTGCAATATCCTGGAAGTCTGACATCCTGGGAGATGTGTTTTTCTGAGGACTTTTAGGAGAAGCTGAATCTGGTGTGGTGATGTGTGATGAGGAAAACCTGATGCTCCAGTGGGAAGCCACAATGTCTCCATGTGTCTCATGGATCCTGCTGAACTATATCCATTTGAGAGAAAGGACATAAAGGGGCTTTGACATAAAGAACCAAGAGAATTCCTTAAGCTATGGAATGTTGACTTTTCTGAAGGGCTGGGTTTCTGGATGTGCTGCTGGGATTGCAGTTCTTCTGATGAAAATGGAAGGAGAGGCTGTTTTGAGTCAGCCCAGCCCAGGGGGAAGAGGCTTGGGGGAAAATGGATCAGAGCACTGCAGGTGGAGAGAGGGACTTGTCTCCCTGTATTCTTTTTTCCTGCACTCTTCTAATTCCTGCTCAGCAGGTTTAGGAAAGGTAGTTTGATTTACTCTGAGTGGTGCAGAAACAACAAAATTGAACCCAGGAGGTTCAATAACAACTTTTATTTGCCAGCATTGGAACACCCTGACAAAATAAGGCAGGTGGCAAACTTTAACTTATCCAGACACAACAGAGGCCTTACAAAGCATTCACTAGAATTTTTTGGTCTTGCTTCCAGAATATTTTGAGAAGAAGAAGATAGAACTAGACACAGCACTTGGAGCAGCCTCACCAGTGCCCAGCACAGGGCAAGCATCACCCCCCTGCTCCTGCTGGCCACGTTAGTCCTGAGACAGGCCAGGTGCCCCTGGGCACATGCTGGCTTCGTGTTCATCCCACCTAATTGCTTTAAGCCAACTGTTCCCTTACATCCTCCTACCCCCTCATAAATCAGCCTGATGGCAAACTGTTTATCCTAATGTTTTAGGTTAAACCCAGCCTTTCCTCTTTCCAGTAGCCTGTGCTCTGAGATTATAAGTATAACTTCCTGCAGGAGAGTGCTGAGGGTGGATCCAGGACCAGGCTGGGGTTGTTCTGTGCGATGCTGAGACACAACAGCTGCCAAAAGCCAGCTCACATATGCAGCTGCACTGAGCTCTGCAGCAAAATTAAACAATCATAACCTCTGAATGGGGTTTTTAGTGACAGGCAATCTATAAATGCCAGAAGAACAGAGCAGTTGAAAAACCTGGAGTGTTAAATGGAGCTGGGATGGTAAAACAGAGCAGGGAAATGCAGGTTTGCTCAGACAGCACGTGTGTGTTTTCTTGCCACATTAATGTGGTTTAAACACAACCCTGTGCCTGGAGCAGTGGTTCTGGTGGTCGTGCTGGAGCTGGCAGTAAACAGCCCTGTGGCAGGAATGTGAGGAAGATCAGGAAGCAGCTCAGGATACAGTTATCAAGATATATGTGCTCTTAGGAGGCTTGCTTCTCTTCACAAATGAAACTGGGACCTCAAAGTGTGATTTATCGGGGCTTTGGAGAACGTGTGCTGAGGGAATCATGCTGTTTCTGCAATTAGGCTTTAATAAATAATATTAATAATGAGGCTTTACTTTTGAGCCAAGAAAAATCTCTCTACCATAGGCTTTCTCTCCATCATCAAGCAAAAGATGAAATAGAATCGAATTCCAGAAAAGATACATAAATTTTTTTGTGAAGCAAGTAGAGAGTAAAGAAAATAACATTGAATTAAGCAGAAGATTGGACAACTTTTGGGTTTGACACTTATTTTCCTATTTTTTAGGCCAACACAATTGAGTTTTCCCAGAAACCTTTTCACAGAACTTCATATGGATCATCTCTTTGTGCAAAGCAGTCTTTGTCTGAAAGTAACACAGACTTTTTTTTTTTTAAAAGCCCTAATTATACGAGAAATTATATTTATTACAACAAAAGTCGTGTCTCCTTTGGGATGGACTTGGAGTAATGGATGGTTGGGTCTTCTAATTTATCTAAGTCGTGCAGCATTAGAAAAGCAAATTCAACATATTTACACATGAAGATCTGTGGTCATTTTTTAGAGGGCTGACGTGATCATACATCAAAGGGACTTGACCTTTGGAGTTCCCTGCCTATCTATCAGTGGGAACCCATGTCTGCTTCCTTTGGAGACCAGGGAAGGGAATGCAGCAGGGAAAGGAAAGAGGAATATAAAAACCCTGGAAAGATGAACAGATTTTCTAAAATTTTATTTAGAGTTATCTGTTTTTTCCCCCACATGCTTTGATTATAAACTTGATAAAGAGCAATGAGTCAGAGTGCAGAGGAGCAAACATCAATTCTCTTGCTTTTAAATGGAGGTCAGGAACTGAATGCACTCAATGTGTTTGGTTTTAATTCCCTTCATCCCTCTGATGATACAGTTTACATGATGCTCCCCATAAACCAGACTGTTCACATCCTAGTCACCAGTTCCTCCCACACTGGCCACCATGAAATGAGGCCTTGGCTGTGAACCCTCAGATAACTGATGCCAGATTTAGATTTCCTTCCTAAGGACTCCACAAAAAAGTCATGGGATTTGACAGGAAACAATCCCTTGTTCTGCAAAAGGTGCCATTTCTAACTCATTTTCAGTACATCCCAAGTATTTAGGTCTGCACTAGTTAAAATCTCTGGGAGTTTTGTCTTAAACAGAGGCAGAATTGGCACCCAAGGTTCTGTTTAGCTGTTAGAGACTAGCAGATACTAAAGGCAGTAATCCCTAAGGTGTTACCAGTATTTAATATGGCAAAGCTTAGGTCAATGTACATTTTCCTTCCTAAAGGTAAGGTATTAATGTTATTTTTAATTGATGTGAGATGTATTCTCTAGGCACAATCAGTTTTCAGAACCCCATAAAGCAGCTAAGGGCAATTCCATTGCTGGGCATGAAAACTCCCCAAATGGCCTGGGAAAAGCAGAAAACATGTTTGAAATCAAAATTAAATTATTAGTTTATAAATTAATCACTTAAGAACTGTAGAACACGGAAGCATAAATAAACTTAACAAATGCAGAGTAGTGCTGAATGTTTCTGTGATGTGCTGCTGCTTTACTAGAACTTGAGCTTGGTACAAGGATTGTGCTACTGCAGCTGGACTTGGGTGAGGCTTGACACCTGTCAGTGCCTGTAAAACTTGGAGGGGGCAAAAAAATGTCAACAGTAAATAATATATCCTTATTTTTCAGGTGTTTGTTGCAAGGAAGGGGGTGGGAGGAACAGATTCCTTGGGGAAAGGGTGCTTTAATTTTTTCTTTCACTCCTGTGCAATTTAACTGACCATGGGGAGCTGTTCACTTCTCTGTGCCTCTGCAGTGTGATGTGAGGAAGATTTTGATTAATTTTATATGGACTTAAAGAAATATTGCTGGATGAACATGCCAGTTCTTAGGTTTCTCTTCCCTGCTCTTGACATACACATGCAGTGGCTTGCAAAGGGGTGGGAGAAAAGGATTTTGCTTCTTTAATTTAAGTAAATATTAGGAGAAAATAATTATTTTAGCTCACTGTAAGGGTTGTCAAGCACTAGAACAGACTGTCCAGTAAAGTGGTAGAGTCACCATCCCTGGAAGGGTTCAAAAAATGTGTGGATGTGGCACTTGGGGACATGGGGTAGGGGTGGGCTTGACACTGCTGAGTTAATGCTTGAACTTGATTTTAGAGGGCTTTTCCAACCTTCATGAATTCTACTCCAGACATAAGGCAGCTCACCAGTCTTGAAATCATGACTGAATAGCTGATTAATAAAATCCCCTTGCTGATCATGCCTAGGTCAAATTCCCTGGAACCCAGGGCAAATTCTCCACAGCCAGTTTCCACATCTGCCGCACACATTGGGGAATGTATGGACAGCACAAACCCATTCAGCAGAAGACAAATTGTGCTACTCCTGTGCCATTTATCATTTCACTTGAGTTCTGTATTCCTTGGAGACTCCTTTTAACATAGGAGGAATCACAGAAATTAATTTCTCCTCTTGGGTTGAATTATAAAAGCCTGAAGAACAAACAGAGTGTGGCATTTTATGTTCTTGAGGCACAGCCCCACTTACCATGCCCAGAAATATCATTTCCTCCTCTCTCAGTTTCTCTGTTTGCATGCGCTGACGGTACCCACGCCAAACCTGGATTGTAAACAAAATTCTAATGAGATAAATGGGCCTTGGTACAGCTTCCTTTTCTGGGGCAGACACAGGAAAAAACAAATAGAGGAAGGAAAGGCATAATATACAATTGAAACTATTGCTTTTTAACAGGTTGCCATCTGCTTTCTTTTTTTTAACAAATGCTGAGGTTTGTTATCCCCTCATGCTGCTCTGGGTGGCTTCTGAAAACTGTCACTGCTTCATGAAGTTTCGACTTAAGATTTAGGCTGAGTTCCTGCTCTCATCAGGCTGAATTGTCTGAATTATTCATGTGCAAGGACTCTTTGTGGAACTCAGCACTGACCTCCCTCTGTCCTTTTTTCTAGATATGGAATGAACTCTTCCCCTGGAGATCACAGAAAAAGGCATGAATTCAGAGAAGCACTGAATTCCAAGGGGAGGCCAGAAAGAGTAACTGAGGTCATAAAAATCAGAATGGAAAAACAACGTCTAAGTTACAAAGTCATCCTGCATTGCCAATGCAGGACTGGTTCCACTGATCTTACATCTAGGGTCCTGTCTCATTTTTTAAATTGGTTTAAATGATGTATTTCACTTTGCTGGACACCCTTAAAAGGACCATTTCAGATAGCTTCCCATCCTGTGAGCTGTGTTTCCATCTATTGCTGCTCTCCTGACCAAAACACTGTCATTTGGCTTTGCCAGAACTGTTACTGCACAAGAAACTCACCTTTTGAATGCAAGTGGCAGCATCATCTGGATTTCTACCCGCCCCTTTCTCCTGTTTTTGACTTTGTCTTTTCTCTTCAAGGTATATTTTCCTCATGAATGCCGCTCGAGCACGGCCCTGGCGAGCCCGTTCTGCCACCTGGATCACTTTAATGCCTTCTTCAAGTGTCATGGCCATGACAGGTTCCTTCAACAGCACAGCCAAAAAAAGGAATGAGCAAAAGAAAGTTATGTGAGCAAAGGAAAGTTATGTTTTGTTAAGTGCCTGCCTCAGTTAGAAAATGATATCTCAGGAAACAAAGAGCAGAGACTCCTGTTGATGTTTGATGAGGAAAACCTGCTTTGCTGGAAAGCTGCATGGCTCATGCAGTCCTGCTGAACTTGATCCATTTGAGAAAAAAGACACAGCCATGGGGCTTTGTCCCTCTAAAAGGAGAATTTCTTAGGCTGTGGAATGTTTTCCTTTCCTTTTCTGAAGGGAGGGTTTGGGGATGTGCTGCTGGGATTGCAGTTCTTTTGATGAAAATGGAAGGAGGGGCTGCTCTGAGTTGGAGGGGAAAAATGGATCAGAACAGAAGGGACTCCCCCTTCTCACTCCTGAGAAACCTCATGCTCCCCATGGAAAACCTGAATTAGTGTCCTTTGATCTTCATCTCCCAACTAGAGGCAGCTCATATTTAATTATTATATTTTTATTGTGTGGCACTTGCTTTCAGCAGGGCTTTCTAGGACTGAGTTACATAGAATAGATTTCCTGAACAGAATTACACATATGATGTGCAGATTCCTGAGATGAACTCCACTGGTTTTGACTTATGTTGGACTGCTCCTAACAGCACTGCCACGGACACTGGAGACTCCAGTTGGTTACACAGCAGCCAGGATTTTCTGAGGGGACGAGGTGCAGAAGTGCTGACAACCCTGCAGCAATCCCAGGGGTGAGTGAGTGAGTTGCAAGTGCAGCACAGGACACTGGCTTTACACTGGGTGAGGTTATTTTATTGCTGTTTATTGAATCCTCTGGCTGTGACAGCTGGACCCTGCCAGAGCCTGGTGCTCTGGCTGAGCTGGCTGCTCACTAGACAAACCTCATCCCTCACGGATGCCACGCTGGAAAGGGGCAAGAGCAGAACTCTGGGAACAAAAAGGCTCCAGGATAAACTGTGCTGAAACAGGATCTCCCCAGAGCAAGGCAGGGTGAGTAGAAGAGCAGAGAACTCACCCAGAGCTGTCCTGTGGAGGAACAGGGCAGCACTGCAGCTGCCCAGCAAAGCCTCTAGCAGGGAAGCCTGTGCTCTGTCTTTGCAGTCTGCCTGGGGCTGCTTCCATCCCTGGGGACTTTCCCTCTGTTATTTTGTGGGATCAACAGGCACAATCACTGCTGGGGAATTCAGGGCAGCAGTGTGACTAAGTGGGCCATCAGCACTGTCTCTTATGGCTACAACATCCATGAATCCAAGTTACCCAGGCATGTAGGCACAGTTGTTTACTTCAGGGGTCAACATGCCACTCCCAAAAGGTCACAAGTATATCAAATCCAGACAGCCTTCACTGCAGTGCTCATGTTCTTGTCTGTAATGACTTCTGCTCTGCCAAAACTCAGTTTTCTGCTCCTCCCAGCAGCTGCAGCTCTGTAGCTGCATGGAGGAAACTACACTCATTGTTCAGAGGTTATAAAGAAGTCAATGCCAACAGTTGTGCTGACCTGAATTTCGAGTTCTGCCCGCTCCAGTGAGGAATCCCGGGCCAGGACAGCTTGGTTTCAGTTGGATTAATTGCATGATGAGAGTTAGTTAGACAAATAAAGCATTGATTTGGCCAAAGTGCTGCTCTTTCTGACACTCTCACACACAGCAAGCAGAGTAGAATCATTTCAGTCTTACCCAGGCTTGAGATGTGAATCTATATTGTTTGACAGGGAAATCTAAGGTTTCTTTCTGCTTGTGCCTTATCTGTAAACACACTTTTACTTCCTCACTGCTGTAAAAGCGCTTCTCACTTCAGTGTCTCATGTTCAGACACATGTGGCTGTAAACTAAACAAATCCAATATGATATGTAGGTATGGGATACGTTTACCTGTTCTAGCAAACCAGCATTCAGCAGAATCTCATGTAGGTATTGCTCCCTCTCCTGCAGGATTCTCAGGTTTTCTTTAATAAAATACTTTGGGATGGGTATTTCTATGTCTTCCTGGAGAAAGAAAGTCATAAGATGCTTTTTAGGACTTAGTTAAAACACATTACTGATTAATTGAACACCTTTACAAAGCAATAAAATAAGGACAGAGGTTGTTGAATATTTTTGAGTATTGGGGAATTTGACCTTTGTAACAGCTGCTGTTACTTTTCAATTACTTTAGGCCTAATTCAACAAAAACAAATAAATCAACCCAGTTTGTGAACCATGTGAGCCCAGAAATCTTTCTTCTTATAATGGCTCAATTATATTATCAAATCGCTAAAATATTTGGCAAGGTTGCTAAAAATTTAAACATGATTTCCACCGAGCTGAATACCTTTGGTTGTGTGATCATCCCACTTCTTGTTTTAATCAACAGGAAAAACAGATCTGTTCTCCTGATGGTTTTTTACCATTACAAGGAACCAAAGCACAATTCTAGAGGTTTTTGCAGGAATTTTGAGCTGTAGACAAATTGTCTGCATATGACTGTGGTATCTCAGACACTTGTTAAAATCAGACATGAGCAGAAGTGCCTGTCTTTACTAATTGCTGTAATTAAAAATACGTAACTGATTTATATTTCTCCCAATTCCATTCCCCCTTCCCTCAGCTGCACACTGAGGGACATCCCTACCATGACACCACAAGAAACCTTCCAAGTCAGGCTGTGCTTATCCCTGATGATTTTATCAGTCTGATAAAGTTTCTAAGTATTTGTCTTGCTAAGCTCCCTGTTTGCACCTTCCAAAACCCTTGGTGGTTGATGGAAATGATTATATGCTGTACTCTGAGTGCAAATCACTCTGGGTGGATTAAAATCTGGAGATATAATAAATCAAGGTGTTTGTCTGGACACCCTCCTGTAGGATGAGAGGATTTTTAGGCTGCCAGGGAGCAGAGGCAGTGTAGGAGTATCTCAGATGTCTCACCTGGCCCTTAATTCCAAGTGATTCTGGATTGTGACTTTTACGGACTGGAAATAAGAGATCAAAGCCTCGATGCTAGGCTGGTAGGGTGGGGAGCCTGCTTCTCTTCATCATCTCTTTTTGGGGTGCAGCACTGCAAAGTCGGGCTTGGGACGTTTAACCTCGAGTCAAATTCGCAGCTTTTTAGCCACTCCCAGCTCCACATGGGATTTATGGATCCAAATACCTTCACAATTACCCCAGGAAATGGAGTGACTGGGTGTTGGAAGGCAACTGCACAAAAGTACAGAACTGGAGAAACAGGAAAAATTGGCCTTGCAGTGACATAGTACAAAATAGGCAATATCAGCAAATAAGGTATAAAATGTTGTGTCCTCTGCCTCCAATCCTGCAGCATTTTAGCACTGATAATAAAGGGAAAGGAATGACTGGAGATAATCCTTTCTGGGCAGATCCTTTGAGAAACAGAAGTTATTTCTCCAGTAATTTTGATCTGTTACCAAGAATATTTTAATATTTTATTTAAAAAAACACCCCATAAATCTATATTCTTATCTAGTACAGAAAATGTTTTCTTTGGAAAAAACCTGAAATCTCAGTGATTCATTTCTTTTGTGGTAGGTAGGTATGCTAATACCTTCTTAAAATTAAGGTATGGTGCAGGAATTTGAATTTATGCTTGTTTTTGAGGAGATGTCAGGGCTGAACTTTTCAGACTTGCCAACTTTTTGCTGCACATGAATTTACTGCTGAGTCATGAAAACAGCAGTGCCCAGGATTTCAAAATGTGATTTGAAGGATTATTTTCCCTGGAGATGTGTTTATACTCTCTCAGTTTAAAACAGTGATTAATGTTGAAGGCTGGTGGAAATTCCTGGCAATTCCTCTCCTAAATTTGCAGATGTGAAGTGGCAAACAGAAACACGTGTGTAGATCTCAGAATGATGCTATAACGATACTGGGCAATTTATCTCGGAGCTGGGATCCTAAAAAAGCAGAAATTTCAGCTGATTTTGGCAAAGCAGCGGTACCTGAATGTGACAATAGATGGAGCTGTCTGCGAGAGAAGTAAACCACCTTTGCCAGCTCAGTTTTCCTGTGGCTTTTAAAGCACAGCTTCCACACTTTGCCTCATCGTCATATTCATGGTGCTGATTTCACCGTGCCACGAAGGGCAGGCTGCAGTGGACTCCACTTTACTTATCAGTGACCCATTTTCTATCTCACCCCACATTAAAATCAGGCAGAGTCAAGCTCCTGACACTTAGCAGCAAAGCTGTGAAGTTATTACTGACAGAGAGTAGGTTTAGGTGGGATATTGGGCAGGAATTGTTCCCTGGCAGGGTGGGCAGGCCCTGGCACAGGGTGCCCAGTGAAGCTGTGGCTGCCCCTGGATCCCTCCCTGGGAGTGTCCAAAGCTAGGTTGGACACTGGGGCTTGGAGCAGCCTAGGACAGTGGAAGGTGTCCCTGCCCATGGCAGTGGATGGGCTTTAAGGCCCCTTCCACCCCAAATCATTCTGGGATTCTATGAATACAAATTCATGTTGTAATATGGAATCATGGAATGGGTCAAATTGAAAGGGGTCACAAAGGATCATTTGGTCCCACCTGCTCCCTCCCCTGCTCAGAAAGGTGAGTGCCATCTGATGCCAGCACTCCTGGCACTGCACAGGCCATTCCATTGTCAATGCCCCCAAAATTATGGTGGTGACACCAGCTGGGGAGCCGTCTGTTTCTTTCAATATTGCTGCTTCCAACTGGAAGTGTCAGGAGAAGATAACTTGTGCCCCAGAATCCCTTACTAAATATCCTAAAGCCCTGAAATCTTTTGTGATCACCCTCAGACTATGTGTTACCCTTTCCCTGTCCTCTGCATGGACGATCACGTTAGTGGGCTGGGAAAAACTTGGCAGTTTGAACTCCCTAAGGGCTGGGTTTGTTTGACACAAATAAAACCCCTACAGATCTTTGCTATGATTAGCTCCTCGTTGAGGCAGCCCTACCGGGACACGCCCGAGATCCGTGAGGATGCCATCCATGCAGTGACACTCGCAGCTCTCCAGGGCCACCATGTCTCTCTTGATCTCCAGGATGCGGCCCATGAGCCCGTCCAGCACTTGCCGAACCGCCGCCCGCTTCTGCTGGTGGATCAGGTGGTCGTGAGCCGCCTCCAGGCGCCGGAACATTTCCAGGTATTGGATATAGGCAGTGGCCAACATCTTCTTCACCTTCTCCCGGTCCTCCTGGGGCTGGAGGAACTCCTCTCTCTCTCTCTGGAGCATGATGTCCAGCTCTCTCTGCGTGTCTGCCCACAGCTTGATGTAAGTGCTGGTTGGAAAGAGAAGACTGTGTCAACCTGACATGAAAGCAGGGGACAGCAACGCCAGGGCTCTGTGGGTGTGGATTTCTCACACAGCCAGCCTGGAAGTGTGAGTCATTACATTTAAAAGAAGATAATTTTAACTACAAAGTCTTTTGAAAACCATTAGCAGAAGTTTCTGGGTTTGTTTTAAAAGCAGGAATCTTAAAATGGTGTTTTATTAAAACAAGCTTAGACGTTTAAAGCTTTTCGGCTTCATTCTAGAAAGCTTGAAGCATCCTTCAAATGCTTGAAGTTACAACCCGCAAAAGTGCCAGGAGTTTTATTCAGTTGTGCTAATTGAGAAAATGGTTAAATTGAAAAGGTGTCTCCCTCTAATGCTTTTTAATAGAGGAAGGACTATTTGAGGCTCTGCATTTTTGGGATGAGGACCAATTCATGTTTCTAAAGCTGTGCTGCCTTTCTGAAGTGGTTGCTTGGAGATAACTGCGGGGTAAGGGTGGGGTTGGTGCCAATGCTGCCGTGAAGCTCTGGGCCCAATTCAAATGTGAGGTGAGGAAAGTAGTTTGATTTATTTCTATGGTATCAATTGTTGCACTTCAAGGAATTGCTAAATATCTGCTCTGGTGGCTATGGGATTGTGTGGCATGGAAGCTGTCACCTCAGGCCATCTCCATTTCCAGGAGCAATAATGTTGCTCACTTGATAGTTTTGGTAGGAATAGGTAGAGCTCTGATGCTGGCTGTCAGCAGCTTTTCATAGGAAAAGCAGATCAGAATATCCTGGGGGATCAGCCTAAAGGAGCAATGGGGGTTTTATTCAGAGAAGGGCTCTTACAGCAGGTTTGTCATGGAAAGGTGTTAATAAGACCTGTGGCAGTGAAGGCACTTTTAGGTCCCGTTCTCCTTTGCCAGATGGAGACTCTTGGCAGTGATAAGTGTTAAAAAATCCTACATCTTTGAAAATGCCTCTCTAGGAACAGAGCAAAGAAATTCCTTCTGCACCGAGACTTGGTTGTACTGGGAGAAAACCATTTCATTCACACTGTCATGCTGAGGGGAAAACAGTGACTGTGAAAACAGGGACAGCTGACTTGTTCCTTAATCCTAGGAATGAAGGCCATTGGCCTCGGTGGTGCAATCTGGACCCACTGAACCAAGCTGCTGTTCCTAGAGCTGCTCAAAGAGAGATGAGAACAGCAAAAGGCCCTGCCTTTGTTAGATGAGCTTTGAAAGCATTGAGGGAGAGCTGGTGTATTTATCCTGAAAGCTGGACAGATGTTAGCATTGTTTGTGCATGATAATAAATGTTGGAGCTCTATGAGCTGATCTTATCATTTCCAGTCCTGGAGGTCAGTGTGACCCAAGGCTTGTGCTGCAAGAGGGACGTGTGGGGTGGGACAGGACAAACTCCAGCCCACAAATGCCCTGAATGTGGGGTGCCCTGCACGCCCTGGGTGGTGACAGGGCAGTGGGACTCCCCTCTGAAGTCAGCAAAAACACCAACAACCCAAACCCTGCTACTGAATCTGCACCATTAACGTTTTAAAGGGCGTATTATACTCTTCAGCTGACCTGACTTTCTGCAGGATGCAGCTGGCCTTGCTTTTCCTAATGCTTCTGCAGCCCACCCAGGTCTTTCCCCTTCCTTTTTTCCCCTTCATTTACATCCTATTGCACCACCCGTATCAGTCAATTGCAGCAATTAACCCAGGTGCAGGAGATAAACAGAATAAACCTGGCAGAGGGGAGAAGATGGGGACAAGCCAGGCCAGCATGAGCTGGAGTCAGGGCACGGAAGGATGTGAGGCATGCGGGGTTTCCAGTACGGGAGGAAAGGGCGTGATGCTGTATGTACTTTGTATGATTTCTTACAGATACTGGAGAGGTTGGCAACCTCTGAGGAAGCCCAGCCCTGTGGGGTGTCCCCACAGCCATCCAGCTGATTTATGAGCCCTGGGGATCCTCGGGCTGGAGCCTTTCCCGTGCAGGTTACTGCATAGAGACACCACGACCGTCCGCTCCGATTTCCAATAATCTCCCTCTCTGCCTCCTCTGACTGAGGAATGTCAAGTGGTTCCTCCTGCTGAGCCAGCTCATATCCAGTTTCTTTTTCTATTGGGAATGGCTTGTGCTGAGAGGAGGGGGCTGGAGCGCTGCAGCCCTTGGAGGAAGGACGTTACCATGAGGCACTGCAGATAGGACATAATTGCTTCCATAAAGCATTAGTTTATCAGATTAGCACTGGGATGATTGCAAGCATGGGTGCTGTGGGTCAGATGTTAAGACTGGGGATGTTGTGGGATGATTGTGGCTTTTGCAACAGCAGCGTTTTGGGCAGATGAGGGCAAAAGAAAGGACGGGCCCACTGGAGAATGAAGTGCTGAAATGATGTGAAAGTGATACATTTGGAGCTGATAGCCCTAAGTACCTGCTATGTTCAGGGTGACTGACACCTTGAGGGACCTGTCCCCCAGTTTTCTTAGGTATGGGATGGGGACATCAGATACTGGGTAACAGGACAGGGCAAGCAGAAATCTGATTTGAGTGTTGCATTGCTTTACCCTGATTAAAAACTAGAGGACACGTGCCCAAAATAGGATTTAAAATGGTTATTTCAGCTTTTACTGGTGCCCAAATGTGATCCTTTCTGGACTAGTCTGAGAAATGAGATGTGCTTGGTGTTCAGAGTTACTTTTGGGGGACTTTTGGGGCACAGCTGCTGTGAAGCAGAGGAGCCCTTCAGCTTTAGAGACAAATGTGCTCAGGGGTAGTCAGTGGAGCAACTTCAAGGTTATGCCTTAAAAGCAACGGAGAGCTCTGCCTCTCGTTGCCTGTGAATCAGACACTGTGTGATCCCAAAGTCCCTATTGGAATTTTTGCCTATTTGCTCAGTGTCCCTTTACATTAAGTTGTGAACTCCCTCAAAATTGTTTCCACAATCTGCAGGGGGAGGACAAGGTAGCCTTGAATGCACTGGGTTTTTATTTACTGTTACTACTCCACCTTGTAGGTTCAGTTCTGTTCTGCTCTGAGCTGTTTCTCTGCCCAAGGATATTCCATCAGATTTTGGTTGGATTAGAGCCTCAAACTCACCTATTAGTGCAGGTAATAAGCCTAACTTTCTTATTCAAGGCTTAAGATTAAAAAGAATTATTAAATCCTGGAAAAGAAAGCTGTCTCTTGATCTCGGTGTGCATATAGTACTGTAAGTAATGCTACAAATTGTCATAGCAACTCCCAAATAGGGGTGTTATGGGGAAAATAAGCAATGCTGTAATGGGATGAGGAAGAAGCACATCAAGTGACTGAACTCTGGAGTCCCCAGAGTGATTTCTGGCAGCTCACAGCTTGGAGGGAAGGTCAGAGCTTTAACTCCTCAAGGATGTCCCCTCTCTTCACTCCCACAAAGTAAAAACAGACTAAAACATGAGCTTAAGAACTTTTTTTGCCCATAGCCTGATTGCCAGTTCAGATCTTGCTTTTATTGCTCAAAATAAAGCCTGTTCTCCTTATTTACAATGAAGCTTAACAATATAGGGTTTTTTCCTGCTGAAGTTATAAAGAGATGTTTAAAATCCTGCCAAATTGTACATGCCTTGTTTTAGTACTGTAGGGCCCTCTAACTCTGCATGTTTGCTTGACCCATCTCTGCTAACATTTGGAAAAGCTCGTTGGTTTTGAGTCCAGCTGAGGTGAGCCTGCTTACTGGTGTTGGACTGGTTTTAAGGCTTAAGCATGCCCTTCTTGGAAGGGTTTGTGCTGAGCATGCAAACTGTCCCTCAGGCCACTCCTGAGCCAGGAGAAGAATCTGGCATCAGTGGGGTTACCTTTGTGTGGCTTTCCTTCCTCCCCCCAGAGCATCTCTGTGTTTTACTCACTGCCAAAGGGAACACTATTCCTGTTATTCCAGGACATGGCACAGTCTGGGTTTGTGTATGGGCTGAACCCTGGCTTCTTTGATGCCTGGTTATTCCTCAGGAGTATCTCCTGCTTTGCCGCACTAAAGCTGCTCGAGTGTAGTGCTGCGTGGGTCTCACTGGTTTATCCTGATGGATGGAAGGAGGTGGAAGGGAAAACATTTGACTCTGACTGCAGCTTTCCTCAGCTCGTTTGGAAACTCCTGTGTGATTAAAGGAGCTCTAAATCGTGTGTGTTAAAACACTGCTGAAGGAACCTCTGCTGCCACTGCAAACCCACCTTGTATTTCTTTCTCAGAAATGAGACTGGGCTGTGCTGGGGGCTGGAGAAAGTGCCACAGGGCTTGTGGGAGCAGGGCTCAAGAAGCCTGGCACAGAACACAGGGGCAGAGGGGACCGAGATGTGGGGCTGGTGACAAGGAAGTGCAGGCAGGGGCCACTCCTCAGGGTTCCCGGGCCACACTCGGAGCCTGACAGGTCAGGCATTGTGCAAAGCCCGGGGCAAACACGGGGGAGGGAAACCCTGCCCCGCAGCCTCTGCAAAATAAAGAAACAAGAGACAAAGGTTGGGAGGGGAAAGTGAGGCCCTGAGAGGAAAAAGGGTTTTTAATGCTGCTGCTTTTCTTTTTTTTCCTTCTCTCTTTCTAAAAATCACCAGGCTTAGGATGACTGCTGGCTGATTCAGGTCAGCAGTTTCCTGTTCCCTCACAGGTATTGCGTGGTGATTACATTATAGTAGTAGCCCTGTCTTTTATCCTATTATAGGCAAACGTTTTTTGTGTTGGAGAGGTGCAGGCAGAATCAGAGATCACTGTGGCCTGATGACAAAACCTGCCTGAGTTCAAGAAGTGTTTAGACAATGCTCAGGCACAGGACAAGGTTCCTGGGGTGTCCTGTGCAGGGCCAGGAGCTGGATCAATGGCCCTGGCGGGTCCCTTCCAACTCAGCACTGATTCTGTGAACCAAATTGACTGAAATGTTGTCAGAATTAATTGCTGATTTCAAAGCCTTTAGCCTGCAGTCTGGAGCAGTCCAGGCTCATGAGCCTGTTTAAGCCTGCCTTGCTCCCAGAATAAGATTAGTCTCACA